TACATATATGTGTATATATATATAAAACACATAAGTATAATAATCACAATTTTTGATTAAGAAGTAAGTTTGAGAAGAAGTTCAGAAAGAGTAGGAAGTCAGAGCCAAAAGTTATAAATACTGGTTAGATAATCCTAGCCCATTTTTAGCAGTCTGGCATGGTGGAAATTTGCATGACTGATTATGACAATGAGTTCATTCTGTGCTGGATGGAAAGGCAAAGCACAAAGATGAACTGTAACATTTGTCTTTGTACATTTATGTTTTTGATTGTTATTTTCTAATATAAGATTACAGATACTCAATAAAAGTGTTACATTAGTAAGTCCTCACATTACTTTTTAACATTTGTAGGTGAAATAATTGTATTCTCAGCAGGTTCAAATTGATTAAATCTTCACCGAGTTTATTACAAGAGTAATGAAGATAAAGTATGGGGAGGGGTTTCCATGTTACGGGGATAATCAAGAAATTTAAGCAGTTTTAGATCTGAGCCGAGCGTGGGCAGGTCGTAAGGTGATTTAAATGATTTAAGAGGCTCTCATGAGTGGAAGAAATTTATCTGGAAGGTTACAATAAAATTTTAACCCAGACCTTTGGTTTAATTTAGCTGAATAGAAGCAATTTTTCAAGGAAATATAATCTGATCACTTATACATTAGAGAAGATGAATGCAAAGCTATAGCAATATTTAAGAATTGCAGAAACAATTCAAATCATTCACGTTTGATAGTGTATGATCCTGCTCATCTATCTGCTGTATGAACTGTCAACTCTTATTGATTAAACATTAATGGATATTTGAAGAGTGGATTTCTGTATTCTCTGTGCTTTAAGACAGTAGTTGTCATCTGAGTACACCCTTCCAGTCCTTCCCATACATATGCTTTTGAAGAAATGTGGTAATTCCAGTTCCAGCTATAGTGCAACATATTTTCTTCATAATTTACTACAGATAATCTCTTTGGTGTCCAGGGATGTTTTAGTTACCATCTTACTGGTAGATGTAATGTGTGCGTAAGCAAAAATACCAAAGAATACTGGTGGTCATTAAATTAGATATACCTTTATGATTTATAAGCTACATCCAAGTGATGTATGTATCTTCAAAACCAATGAAAATATTTTTGGATTTTGTTTTGTGAGTTGTTTAACTGCTGTTAATTTCTGTTGACATGGAATTTTTTTTTTTTTTTGAGACAGGCTGTGCCATTCAGGCTGACCTTGGAATTGCTTATGTAGCCCAGGCTGGTCTCAAACTCACAGCTATCTTCCTGCCTCAGCCTCCTGAGTGCTGGGATTATAGGCTTGTACCACCCTGCCTGTGAGCATGGAAATTGCAAATGCATTGTTATACATATGCGAATCAATAGCAGATAATGTGTTTAGAATTGCTACATAAAGATTTCTATTTGGAAATATATCTTACAAACTTATGGAATGTGCATTTAAATTTAAATGTATGAAATTTAATTCTAATTAATCACTTTCCTGTTACCATTACTAATACAGCCATTGCTGGGTAATAAAAAATTCTTAAAAGGGTGGTGGCAAATATTAATATTAGTTGATCTTTGCAAAAAGATTTATAATTTCAGGAGCTTCTAAAAGGATCCAGAAAAGGAGTGGGTGATGTAGGACATAGAAAAGAAAGGATCCAGATCAGGGTGGGATTTCAGTCTTTTCACCCATTGTTAAGATGGCTGGGACATATTTTTAGGTGGTGACATATTTATAACTACTGATGAAATCCTTATTTCAGGATAAGAAATGTGAATTCCCTGTGTAAACATGATATTGTCTCCCTAGTGTAAGAAACTGAAAGAGTAAATAAGATCCAAAGGGAATATAGGTATAGTGAAAGGGAAAGAAACTGCTCAAAAGGTTTTGTAATTTTTTATGGGAAAAAAAAGTATTTAAATAACATTGCTCATTAAGAAGGGAAACTGAGTAAGAGCTGCTTTACTATAGTTTGGGTAGTGTTAATTACAAATGTTGCACTCCACTTATATTTTGAATTGTGTGTATACTTGTTATGTGAGTCCATAGTGCTACCAAAAGTGGTAGGTGAGCAATTGTTGCTAGATAGTATTTTCCAGAGTACTAAAATCTGAAATACTTGGCAAGCTTTTAATTACTAGTAACTACTGAGAAGCTTCTGAAAATGGATTTGCTGTATTTGTCCTAATAAAGTTACATCTATCTTCGCATCTACCTCCTTCTATATATACTGAAGCATGAATTAGATAAATGGGAAATAATTTGCTCAAGAAACTAAATAAAGATGGAAGTAAATTTCTTTGGAAAAAGTCTAAAAGATGTAATTTTGAAGGTGTCTAATTTAAACAACTGGAGAACAGGTGAGAAGCGAGATTACTAAAAACCATGAGTAATTTTTGAGTTCGACTCTTCCCACAGGGGCAGGATGAGTGAGGACCGTTGGTACCTTTCGCAGTACTGGCCTTCATACCCTCGCGGACATGCAGTGCAGCGGTAGTCATCTGGGCCTTGCACAACGCAGGAAGGACTAAAGCTGAACCAGAAAAGAAACAAAAGAGGGTGTAAGAAATCTTGTAATTAATTTATTTTATAAAATTAAATCTTTCTGCCCATTATTAAGGTGGGTCAGACATATCTTGAGGTGGTGACAAATATATTTATAACTACTGGTGAAATTATTTCAGGATAAGATATTACAATTAAGTGGTACTATTAATGAACAAATGTTAGTTGGATTTCATTGATTAATAAAATATAACATTAAAAAAATCATGGCTTTATTTTTGTACCCCAAATTGAACTCAGGACCCCGTGCTTGCCAGGTAGGTGCTTGTGCCACTGAGCTGTATCCCCGGCCCCAATAGCTTGGTACTTTGATAATGATACAGTAACTATGAAAATATTAAATGTCTATCCCAAGTGTTGCATTGTTTACTAATCAAAAGAAAATGTGACTAGAACTCATGGATATTTGTCTGATAGTAGAATAGGTATTACAATATATTTCAGGTTAAAAAAGGGAAAAACTGGGACATAAAAGCTAGGTAATTATTTCCTAGTCCAAATTGTCACTGGCACTTCAAGATGTGAAGTGTGAATAAAAGTTTCACTTAGAATAAAAGAGTCCCTTTTCTAATTTATATCCAGATTTCAGAATCATTTTTCTTAAACATAAAATATAACTTGGTATGAAGAAAGACGAGAAAGATTTCTACCTTAAAATGAGTAGGACTTTCTCACTCTTTTATGGAATTCTCTACTAATTAGGTCTCTGATAACTTGCCCTGCATTTCCATTGTATTATGGTAGACCACAGTCTCTTGCTCTAGGATTTCCAATTCTCTCATTCTATAAAGGAAAATCTTGATGAAACTTGAAAACTATTAAATTATTATTATGTAGTTATTATTATTATGTAGTTTGGGGTTTTTACACAGTTCTTTAAAATGTAAGCAACAAGTTTCCACTGGATAAAACTGCACAATGCACTGGAAACTTAAGACAAAACTTATTAGTTGCAAAATGCCATTTTTTGTTTGTTTCTATTGGTATGCTAGATTCCTTTGTCCTAACAAACAGCAATAAAGTACACAGTTCAGGGCCACAACTTCTTTGGGTTAGGGGCTATAAAGAACCTAATTTAACTATTTTCCAATGCATTAAATCAATAGTACATAAAAGAATGATAAACTCTAATCCTTGCTAAATATGCGAACAAATGAATCTACTACTCATTCATTATCCCACATTTTTTGCTACACATACAAAGAAAAGAGCCATAAACTCATAATTGACAGTCTGTCACTTTTTTAGCTCTTTAATTTAAAACTCGATGCCAAGTACATCTGTGTGCTCCGCCACACAAAATCTCATAGACAGAGATAGGCACTTGAAATAGATTTTAGACATTTCAAGTACAGCTCTACATAGCCAACATGACTGAAGTGCATTCCTTCACAGGAAAATAATAAAATGTGAAAAATAAAGTACTCAGTGAATGCATAAAGTATGCGAAAGTACTATACAGGAATGTAGTCATTCTCCTTGAAGAGCTGATGCAAACTTATTTGAATTATGCTATTGTGGCAGATTGCACATTTTCCTTATACCACATAAAAGAGTGTCTGCTGGAGAAAGTAGAAATTGCGTCTTGCCAGAAGTTAGAGTGATTCTTTCTGCTCACCACTCCTTCGTCTGCAGTCACTGTCCATTCACCTGCAGGCCCACTCAGAAAGCCTTGTGCTTTTCCCCTGATGATCACCTACATTTCCTTGGGGAAGCAAATTCCAAACTCCTGTCCGCAGACCTTTTAAACCTTACAGAGCCTTTGCTCTGCATCTGCCATTTGGGATTTGACTTTAATGAAGTGCCTTCCTGGAAAACCATCTTGTTCCCGTTTTTATCCTAGCTCCCTGGTTACTCTTTCTCAACGTCATTGCTGGATGCATATTATATCCCCGATCCCTTCATCTGCTTCTCAGTTCAGCTTTTAGATTTCTCCTCCCCTCTATCCACTTCCTTAATATTTTCATTCATTCCCAAGGGCTTTAAGAATGAAGGAAAACTGATCTAAAACCAAGTTTCCTTCTCTCTACTGGACCTAACAAATCTAAAACTGTGTTTGCAGTCCTCTGAAAATACAGTTGCCCCCTCTGTGCTTTTCCCCAGGGCTGCCCCATGCTTCCCCTTGCCCTGTCAAGAACCATGCAGTCCACTTTGTCTCCTTTCTCTCACAGACCACAGACGCTTCATCTCCCGGTGTCCCTGGAGCCACCATCAGCAGCATCACCGAATCACCTTGTACCAAGCCGCCTCGTATCACTGGGAGATTTTAGTCTTCAGTGTATTTGGTTACCCGTCAGAGCGTGCGCCGCTGTTCTCAGTCAGTTTGCATGAGCAGCGCTGACCTCTGCCGCCTGTGGGTCACACATGGGCCTGGCTCTGGGACCGGGTACCTGCTACCCTTTGCTGCAACGCTCCTCCGACACATGCACAGATGGCTCGCTTCATACTTCCTTCAGGTCTCCACACAAGCTCCCTCGATTTGTGGAGATCATTGATCACTCTATCTAAAAGGGCACCACACACACCGTGTGCTCATCGAGGTTGCTTTGTATTTCCGGTTGCATTGTCATAACCAGATACGACGTCTCTGTCTATTTGCTTGTTGTCTTACTTTCTTGTAAAATAAGACAAACTCTGGCAGGGCAGGAAACATGAGCTGTTCTTATTTATATATTCCTAGAATGAGGAATCATGTTTGACACCAAGTTGGGCCCTCATTAAATATCTTTTGATGAAAAGAATAAATAAAATGCTATTCCTCATTGAAGAACTGACAATTCTTTGAGACAGAGACCACAAATATAGGACGGGACATACATTTCACCTCTTACTCATGGGTTGCGATGGAGAACTTACTGCTGCGTAGATGTTCAAGTTCTGAAAGATTATTTGATTGAAATAAAGGTGTGAGACCTTGTATCAGGAGGATACTAAGTGTACAGAAGACATGCTGTGCTATGAAGAGATTTTGCTGGTAGACGTTGTGCTTGAACTGAGTCTTTAAAAGTGATTGGATTTCACAGGGATTGTCTCGGGGAATAGCCGGAATAAAGCATGGGCATGTTTAGGAAAGAACTAGAAATTCCAAACTGGCCTCATGTAGAAGGAAGCAGAGGGCATTGAGCCTGGAAAGGTGGTCAGGTTGCTGAAGGTTTCTGCTGTCCTGCGAAAGTCACACCTTTCCTTGGGAGTGTGTGCAAAACCCTTTGAGGGTGTGTCAGTGCTGCAGGTCTACCACGGCTGTGAAAAGTTTACCATATTTGTTTCAGTAGAAGATGATAAAGACTTGAACAAATGTTGTGGAATTGAGTCAGCAATCATTCCCCATGCCTTCCGCATCTCCTGTTTCTCCTGGACTACAAACTGAATGAGTTTCTCAGCATCCTTCATCTGTACCTCACAATCTCTTTTTAATCTACACAAATAAGGTTTTTTTTTTATTTTAAAGAGAGAAAAAAAACACAATAAAACAATACAGGATTTCAAAACATGATAGGAAATGAGCAATGGTCAATTGTTATTCTCAAGTTTTTTGAGAAGTGAGTTATGATAGAGAAAAATGTTTCCTACAGTGGTTGTAATCAATAAAGACTGAAAACAACTAAACTGTCACTATAATTTGATATTTTAGTTTTTGGGGGGCTTTTTTTCATAAAAATTATACTTAAATTATATAAATCCCGAGCCAAAAATGAAACAAAGACAGAAAATGCACCGTTTTATTGATTCTGCCAACAAACCAAAGTAGTATTTCATTTCTCATAATTTCTTGGAACTGTAAACTTAACGACTCTTCTATTATTGGTTATTAGAACTCGCCAATGGCCTCCTTATTAGCGGCTGCTGCACTTGGAGTCTCCCTGATATAGCAGCACCTGGTGCTGTTGGCTGTTGCTTCCTCTCACTGCCCAACTTCTGGCCTTCCTGACCTGCCACAGCCCTTCGTTCTCTGCTGGTGACCCCAACGAGGAGTCCTGGCTTTCCTCCTTTGGCTGTGCTCCCCTTGGATAACATGCGCCTGGGAAACCTTATCTGACTTCACCTCATTTGCTAACATATTTCTTCCTTCATCTGCTTCTGCAATTTTCAGATTTCCATTTTCTGCAGCTGTTTGCATCTTTCCACTCAGGTAGACCCTTCACTTCAATCTGAACCTATTTAAAGCATAAATTGCCTTTCTTCTGCAGCTGCTCTTCATTGATTTTCCTATTTCAGTTCGTGGCTCCATGATTTTTCTGTAGGGGACAACCCGGCTAAAACGCTCAGTGTTCTACTCCTGCCTGGACACTCAGCCCGTCACACCTAATGAGGTATCGGTTCTGCAGGGCTGTGTTTAACAAGTGTCTCAGTGTCATCCCCGTGTCCCCACTCTTGTTACTACTGCCTGCCTACAAGTCCTAATTATTTCCTGGCTTGGCTACTGCAGTAGCCTTTTAATTGGTCTCATTGCTTTTATTCTTTGCCTGTTTCAATTCATTACATTCAATTCCTTCATAATAGTCTTCCTAAAATGTGGCTCTGATCATGTTAACTTAAAAAAATGAAATTTGCAGCTTTTTGGCATATAGAAAAATTAAATACCAGTTTCTTAGTCTGGTATTCAAGGATTTCTACAATGTGACCTCCAATCTCTCATTCATTTTCATCCATAATTATGAAATTCTGTCCATTTAAAGGCCACGCTCCAAACTCCATTACTTACTAGCTCTTAAATATGCTGTGTGCATTGTATGTTCTAAGCTACTCATACCACTCTGTACTATCCCCACTTATTAAAAACATTTTAGTCCACAGTTGACAACCTATCATATATACAAACACTTCTTTTAATATGTTGTTAGAGCTTCTGAGAATAGGTAGTGTTTATGTCCTTGAATTCTCTCAACATTGAACTTGATTCCTCTTCAGACCTGTGTTTCACGGTGAGTTTCTCCAAGAAATGGCATGATTCTCTCATAGTCCCTGTAGCTCTCATTACAGTGTATTCAACAAGAAATGATTAAGAAAGTATTGATTTTTTTCTAATCCAAATTGCTCACATCTTAATAAACAGCAAGATAAACAACATGCTTTTGTTTAACTATTGGCATCAGAGGGGGATTGGGGAAAAGCAGATGAAAGTAATGTTATGTTTCGTACACCTACCATTTGGTACCTTAGTGAATAATGAGATAATGTATATTAGCATAGTTAGTATCCATTTTACTTAAACATGTACATTGAAACCTCAGAAAAAGTTTGTGATGCTGGCTAAGGAAACACAGGAGCTTCCAGGAGGAAAGGGAAAAAATGTATACAAAATTGTTTTCAGAATGTGTTCCAAGCTGAAGATGAGGAAGCCAAGTGAATAGGCGCAGATGGAAAGATAACTTTAGTCTGACTTGCTTTGTTGCTCTTTTGTACTCAAGATAAGGTGTCTAGAATTCTAATTCTGAACAAATTTCAGTATCTTCTTCAAAAGCAGATTCCTAAAGAAAAATTACTTTATCACGTAGAGATTGAGGTCTACGGATCACTTAACAGAAAGTATGAGTTTAGCAAAAAGGTAAATGCAAATATCCAGGGATTTTCATCAAAATAAAAATCAAGGCTGAATGTTCAGGCAGCACTGAAATAAGATATCCCAGCATTTCCTTCCCGTATGGCTGTTTCCATGGCACCGCGCTCAGACCATCTTAGCAGAAAGGGGGCTGTGATTCTGGCAGATACTGACCTTTTTAGAGTGTAACGGTAAGGCACACTGCTTTCATTGTGTTACTTTTCAATTGTTTCCTTGGTAATTATTTCCCGATCTTGATTTTGACACACATACAATGAATGGAAACAGCCACAGAAATGATGTAGCACCCACCCAAACAATCCTTCGGAGCTGAATTCTTGGCAGAACTATATGCAAACATTAGACCTGTATATTTATAAAACCATGTCCATTTGTACATACATCATTTATTTTATAAGCAGATCTTCTGTTAATATTGCTACTTACATGAGTTCATGAATATTATTTACTTTGGACAAGGTTTTAAAGGACAAATGAACCATAGAGTATATAAACTTACTTTTGTCATGTTTTTATATTATTAAAAAAAAGTCTGTCTTAAATTAAGACTTTGTCTACACGGAAATAGCCAAGTCTTAGACAGCCCATGTGCTAGACAGATGGCATTGCTGATTGGGAAATATGGTTGTATTTCTCAATCTTACTTGTTGCTGGAAGAAATCAGAGGGCAAGCGCACTGCTGACAGTCATTTGGCAATCCCTTGACAGTTCCATAGTATCCCACTGCACATCGTTCACAGAAGTCACCAGCGGTGTGATGCTGACAATCCTGTAAAGGCCAAGGGCAAACAAATTTGTTTGTAATGTAATGAGACACAGAATGCAATATCATACAGCTCACCACCTATAAGTGTGTCTGCCCAGAGAAACACAGTCAAACACACCCACGTTTTTATCATTAAGAGAAAACATACATATATATATATATATATATATATATATATATATATATATATATACTCTTTCATTGGAGAAACTAATGCTATGTTTATTGTATTCTTATAGCTATAATGAGAAGAATTTTTCTTTTCTCTATATCAACTTCTGTGTACCTTTTCCTTTTACTCTATATTGGGAAATATAAGTTCAAGAATATCTAAAATTTATGTTTCTTCCCTTCCCATGTTTTACTTTTGTGAGGTAAGAATGCTGAGATTCCTGAGGCCTCAGTATCTGCCCATCAGTGCAATTTATAATGCTAAATCAAAGTGAAAAGCATAATGAGAGACGACATAAGCAAAAAAAGTCAGCCCTTTCACCATCATAAAAATGTCATCTATTTATTTTTGCCTAATGTCAGTGGTTCTGTGTAAATATAGAAGGCTCAGCTTGAAAGGAGCAAACTTACATCTGTACTTCTTCCTTGTACTTGCATAATAAGGGATATTGGCGTGAGAAGTTTTAAGGCGCTTCCATACAAAATGAGAAAGTGATAGAGTAGTAGATGCAAAGTTTTGCAGTGAAAAGTGTCATGAAGTAGAATTACATTTAGCACAGAGCACTTGATGTATACAGCAGGACACAGGCAGAGCCACCTTGCAGCACTGACTCGGCGCTAAGTGAATCCAGGGAAGGAAGTGAAGTAAAGTAACATCCTGTCCTCCAGAACTGTATTCTACTTCAGGGGGGAAAAGATCGGCAAATGATAAACAACAAAAATGCAATATCGAATGTTGTTTAGTGAAAATGCGATACTTGATTTTGGGAGTCAAGGGAAAAAAAAAAGGAAATTTGGAGTTGGATTTCAGCTTGATTTTCTAGGACAGGTTTTGGGGTACACAGAGCAGTGGCTTATTTCCTATAAACAGTACAGAAAGCAAAGGCGAGAAGCCACAGCCAGGAGCAGCTCAGGTGTAGAAGCTAGAGAGCTGCTCTCCCTGTCCTCTTAAGGGGGCAGTCACTGGGCTGTCTGCAGGGTCCATAGCCAACACCCACCCACCTGCGGGCTGTTTCTATCCATCCTGGACAATGCGCATATCTTTCATCTGTGTTCTAATGGCAAACAATGGTGCAAGGTGCACCAGTTTTCATGACAAATAAAAACTAAAGTCACTTTCACCACAGATCTTGCCATGGAACTGTAATTTTTTTGTTGTTGTTGTTGTTTTTCTCCGGTACCGGGAATTGAACTCATGACCTTGCGCTTGCCAGGCAGGCGCTTTGTCGCTGAGCTAAATCCCCAGCCCCTGAACTGTAATTTTTTTAGAACTGTTTGAGAAATTATGCTCTTCTTCGTAGTGAGTCTGTGACATTGCCACTCTCAATTTTAGACTACACTTTTGGTGCTGTATTTGGAAACACGTTGTGTCATCTGCAGACACATTTTACAACTTAATGTAGAATGGATCCGGCTTTCCAATAGGACAGGTACAAACTCAGTTCCAAGTTTCCACTTTCCCCTTAATAGAGAGGAGCTTCCTATTTTCTGAGGTAGGAAAGCTCCTATTTGGGCCTACCTCAGTTTTCTTCCAAACAGTCCTTGGTTTTGCTTGTATCTTTTCCATCTGTTTGACATCTTTTTCTGTCTGTGGGAAGTATTGTCTCATCCTTGGCTCACTCTTAAAATTTTCCTCGCTAAGCTGAAATTTCTGGACAAAAATAAGTCCTCAGGATACATGAATTTTCTGGAGTGCCTGATATTTCTGGTCATTCTTTCTCTGAAATTTTTTGTTTCCACGTTCTCTCCTTTCTCTGTAGCTACTCTTCTCCCACTTAACCATCCTCTCTTCCCTTTCCGTCTAGCAAGATTGATTTTGTTGATTTTAATTTTGGTTCTCATCTTCTGTTTTTCCTACACATTCTACCTTGGTGATTTCATCCATTACTGTGACATGTGTCATCCATTGTGCCGTAAACCCTGAATTTTATATGCTCATCACGGATATCTCCAGAGAGTTCCAAATTTTTATTTTTCACTGTTGCTTGGGTAGATTTTACTGTATAACACAAAAGTGCCCAGAGTCCAAACTGTCCACTATGAAGCTTATCTCGCTTTCAACTTGTGAATTCTCCTGTTTCCTATTTCAGCTGGGAGTCCTGGTCATCTGCTGAAGGGCTCAGCAGTCTAGAGGTTTTTCTTATGCTAGGTATGTGTTTGCTCTCTGTTCTACAATTCTATTCTTCTCTGTTTCTCAACTTTCTTGTTGCTACTAATTTTATCTGGCCTTATCATCTTTTACCTGGATTATTAGGGCAGCCTCCTAGCTAAAGATTCTGTTTCCCAATATTTCCATTCAGTGACTTCTCTACACTCCACTCACATCAAACCGTGCCCTTCTCTTGCGTGAGAGACTGTACTGGGTCTTCTCGGCCATCCGGAGGACAGCTAGTTGGCTTGGCAGGGAAGATGTTTCTAATCTGGCTCCTGCTTCCCTGCCATCCTTCTCTAAGTGCCATTTCCTTTGCACACCCTGGGATATCATAATATTTTTGAGATGAAAAAAGTCAAATTTCAGCCTAACAAAAAGTGGTCATCAGGACAGAATGATTTGTTATATTTTGAAGTTGATTTAAGCACCGTAACCCTTTCTTACTCATCCATCCAAAGGAGCCATCATACTTTAGCAATAAAATACTCATTCCACATTTAAAAGTAGCATTATAGGAGATAATGGCTCCCAGATAAAGCAATTATCTCTGAATTCCAGTCTCAAATCTTTCAGCAAGATTTCAAATAATGAATAAGTGTTAACTGGGGAATGTTTTAAGAACATATTTTATAGTTTAGGAATGAACACGTGCCAAAGGCACATGGGATCTTCAACAATAAGTTTTAGCATTTTGCTTTTATAATAAAATCACTGTATAATGAGTTATTTTATGTAACCTCAATGTAGGATTAATAACCAAATCAAAATACCTAAAGGTCATGATCACTGCTAAAATACAGACATTCAAAAATGTAGTTTCACTTTTCTTAGATTTGGAACTTTATATAATTTCCTCAGAGAGCAAGCAGATATTTTAACTTCTCAGAGTAGTCGATCTCCTCCAGGGTTGCTGATGTACTATACTTGGTTAAGTGAATCAAATGTCCTGCTTAGGTCCGTTAACACAACCCATAAATCTTGATGCCATTTTTGAAACTTTCTGACATAGCTCTTCCAAATCAGTTTCCAGCACACTGTCTGATAGTGTACCTGTTTACTCATGTGTAGAAATCAGCCTCTAGGAAAAATTTCTATACTTTATATACCTAATAAGAAGTTTAACAACAAATGTACAATTAATATTACAGTATTTTAAACCTAAGGCAAGAAGTTAGACTGGTCTTTCCTATACTTTCTTTGAGATGTCATAAATTCAAGAATTCTTATAAGGCAGTGCTTTGTACCTTGCATAACTATAAACTATGATGCTTTTACTTCTGCTGTCTGAAAAATTTCACTCTAGTTTTAAGTCAGTGACCAAAGCTACACAGATTATCTAATTTCCATTTTCCAGGGAAGGTATTCATTTTTTTAGTAACATTATTATTTTCTAAACCTTTCTTCATGTGAAATGTTTAACATTCCTATTTACTCAATGTTTCCTTCAAAATACAGGGGCTTATATAAGTCTCTAGCTGTGATTTACAAACACACTGAGTGTATTTCTGTCCTTAATTTGGATCTTGTACAAGTAGCAATGTCCTATGTTGGTCCCGATCCAAAGTGCAAACAAGTAGGAACTCCCATATCACATGAATTAATATTAGGAATCGTTTCTTTTGCTTTTTTTTTCCTTAAGCAATAAAAATTGAGCTCCTAGAGGGCAAGACCCATGCAATTCACATCTTTATAGCCAGCACCTACCATAAAATGGGCATCTGGAAATAATCATTTACAGGTGCATAAGAATGAAAGAACAAGTGAGTGAACTAAGTTCAAAATCTTCTCTGTAAGCTTTACGTTAATTGTGGACAAAATTCCACTTGTGAGAAACTTCTACTATCCAGTGAATTAAGTTACACTTGCAGTTTTATGTCAGTTGAGTATTTGACAGATCTTATTCAAATCACTGATTATATTATGAACCTGGCAAAGTCAAACTCAAAGCCCATGTCTTATCACTGGAGACATCTTTAGAGCTTACTCTCTGCCACCTGTTTTAGCCATTATTAGCTTCACTGAATTTGAGATATGATATATTATACCATCTGAGGAAATTGACATTATACCGAGATTCAGGAAACTAGGGGCTCAGATATTCTCTCTATATATATCCTTGGCTATATATAGCAAAGTATAGTGTGATGTGTTTTAATTTTGAATGATTCTATTCTGATTCACAGTAAGTATTCATTTTCTATAGTTGACAGGCAGTGGTTAAATAATCCACCCACCCTTAAATTTCATTGGAAATCAACATCAGATTCCAGTACTTTCCTTTCCCTTATAAAATGGGAAAAGACATTTTATTGCTTTCTATCTTCTAAGAAATTTCATATTTTCAGGATTTCTCACATATTTTTCACATATGACCTTTCATAACTTTGCAGATTCTATCCATACTCTAGGATATAATTCAGCTGGGATTTAAAAATTAAACTCACTTTAATAAAATAAATATGCATTTATTTCTTCTCAGTTTGGAGAATGGAACTAGCAGTGGTTTATAAACCTGATTCTAATACTTTTTGGACAATACTCTAGTAGATTGCTTAAGTTTTCCTAGCATTAATTTTCAGAGGTGTAATAAGGTGCTCATAATGTTATTACATAAATTAACAAAGATATACAAAACACTTTTACCCAGAGAACATTCTAATCAAACATCTATTTACTAGGG